ACGTCGCGCACGAACGGGAGGAAAAGCACGCGTGGAATTCGAAAACTGGTTTGTGCAAGCGGTGTTTAATAAATTAACGAGCAGTCAAAGTAATTAATGAATCGAGATTTTTTGCGGGAGCGCGCGTCATCGTCAGCTGTTTTTCAAAGTAGTGCGTTCGCCGGTCGAACGAGAATCTCTCCCGTGTGTGTCCCGGGGCTCCTATCCGACATGTTACTCCGCCGAATCATGCTCGTGATACGCGCGTTCGTGGAACGCATCGAGAAAGGATCATTGTTACGAGCGCGACGCGAAGTTTAATTTCACCGTCAATTATGTTGTACAGCGAAATCGGTTGCAAATCTTAAATCGATTTGTGGTATAGTGCAAAGTAACGGATGTTGAACATGTACGTAAGATCGAATCGGTACCGCAACACGTAAACGCACTATTTTGTTGCATCAATCTCGTAATTATTTATTGTATTTTTGTTAGTATTTTTTCTGTTTTCACAACAAAATTATTGCTGTCCTTGATTTATTTTGTGTTATAATATTTACAATATTATTTGTTATATAATATTTTTGCTTTGAATTAAGCTTAAAAAGTCTTGTGAGCCGCTGCCTCGCCCTTGAAAATGCTTTCGATTTTTTCTTTTCCAGTTTTGTAAACCTATTTATTTTCCATTTTATAAATCTGTATTTAATTTTGTGTCTAATAAAGTTACTATTGTTGTTATTACTTCAATAATTGCGGAGCGAACAACAATTAAAAAAACATTACAAGATATTACGAAAACCGATGGATCAAAAGAGACGAGTCATCAGCTGATCGAAGAATTTTTGTAAATTTCTCTCGCGACCGCCGATACGACCGGAAAACAAAACAAAACAAAAAAAAAAAAAAACGAACAAAAAAAGCCGCTTGGTCGCGAAATCGCGGAATTCCGCGAATTCGCGAACGTCGCGCCGCAAATTGCAGGCGTCATTTTCCCCACACGTGCACGTTCGCGTGGAAGCCTTTGCTGAACACGGCGGCGGGCTCGTCGGGAAACGGAGAGAACACAGGAACGAGGGAGAAAGAGTGAGAGAGGGAGACCGGCTGGACGCGAAGGACAGTGAACAAAGGGTGGGCAGAAACGCTGGTGTACCTGTGCAATTACGAGGCTTCGGGGCCCTAAACGTATACGCCTCTACGCGGCACGCTAGGAGCCGCGCGCGCGATGACTCACAGACTCGCATCGCTCGCACGCGGCGCCGCGTAACGCGGGGATGCGTTCGATGCATTCGAACGAGGCTGTCTCGAGGAATAAAGTGTTTCCAGAAAGAACCGAAGAGGGGAAAACAAAGAAACGAGTCGCTTTACGTTTCACGCCGTAAAAACCGATCGAGAAAAAAAACGAGTTATTCGATTCGTTTATTACAGATTTTTTTTCAGCGGGTTTTTCAAAAAAAAAAAAATACTTTTTTTCCACGTTTTACACAAAATAAAAAAAGCGTCGTAGACTCGGCCAAGTTTCTCGCGAACGCTTTGCACGAACCTAACGGCGTCAATTTAATTTTCCATCTTTACATTCGACCGATCCGGTATAACAACCGAGGACTAGTTCGCGATATGACGTGGGCGTCGTTCGTGTTAGGCGTGTGTGCACGCCGTGGTCTTTTACCGCCCCGGCAACACAACACGCTATTACGTTTTGTTCTCCCTTCCCGTACGTGTGTGTCGTGTGTGCACGTGCGCACACAACCGGCAAAAATAATGAGCCGTCTGTTTATTATCGGCGAAAAGCACCGCGCGAGCGGCGAGCACAAAAGTTCGCAATATCTTGTCAAATTGCGGCTCGCGCAATTACACGCGAGTAGAGAAAACTTTTTTGTACGGCGCGATGTGTGCGGCGTGTAACGGAAATCTATAAAGGAGAAGAAGAATAAGAAGACGCGCGAGAACATCCCGAACGAAAGTAAACGAGCGACGTGTTCGCGCGTTTCTTTTAATTACACACCCGGAATTAGTCGGGCCTAAATGTAAAACGGACGCTTCCCGTAATCGCGTCGAGAGATACATCGCGCGATTGCCGACAAAGGGGACCGGGCCGAGAAGACGGCGCGCGGTGTGCGTTCCTCGTGCGCACGTACAACAAGCGAGCGCGCACACGAAGCTTTCCGTTTATTGCGAGCATGCACCCGGCTCCGATGATTAGACGATACATCGCGGTAAACCGCCGATGTTTTTCCTCGCGATATAACGTATCGAGACGAGGATGTCCGACTTTATGAAGTTTCGATAGAGAGAGAGTTTCCGTCTCTCTTTCATCCGTCGTTTTTTTTTCTTTTTTTTTACGTCCTCTCTTTCTCCTCCTCTCGCAAAACCGCAGGACTTCCTCAATACTCTACGCGCGCTTAAATACACGACGAGTTGTCTCGTCGCGTTCTCGAGGCGTAAAATTACACTCCGGCCACGATCCCGGGGAAAACCTTTACGGCCGATATATATCCTCGGCCGTGTTTCTCAACAAACAACGGGGACACAAGTGTATATATACACGCTCCGAAACGAGCGATTCCAATTTCAATGACGGTCTTTTTTTTATTATTCGGAGCGGATAAAAAATCGAGAGCACAACGAAGGCGCTGCGATTAGATACAGCGAAAAATATATCGCGGTACGTTAAAAACGAATTCGAACCTTTACGGCCGTGTATCGTTTCTGCAAACAACGGGGGACACGATGTGTACACAATGTGTGCGCTCCAAAATGACCGATTCTAATTTCGATGCCTTTTATTTCGAGCGGATAAACATCGAGAGCGAAATGAAGGCGTAATTAGATAGCAGAAAATATTGGAATATTTAACAAAAATTCAGCTGTTTTTTGAATCTGTGTATAATTTACAATGAAATGAATTAAAATCTGTTAAACAATTGCAACGTTTGATTTCAGAAAATACGTCCCTTGATTAACACTCGCGTACTTGCAATGTGTGTACTTGCAATTACTTTTTTTTGACGCTGTGTAGCATAATTCGAGACTCAACACGCGTCAAAATTTGTAAACAAAATAAAATGCTAATTTTTATTTCTACACCGAATGTTGTATCGCCGCGCCCTCTGTTGTCGATCGCGCGAGTCGTGTTGTTCTCGCGAATTTATCGATAGCGCATAAATGCGTGTGAAGCAGACCGAGCATGCGAAACTGCCGTGTTATTTAGAACAAGATTAACTTTCGATTACGTAAACTCGGATGTGTGCAAAAAGAATCAAAACAATCTGTCACGAACATCGATCGTGAATTTTGCATAAAATTAAATTTGTCTAACACACAACAAGATGACGTAAACACATACACATAAAAAAAAGATATTTATTTTATTCTACTTAAATAAAATTATCTCGAAATTACGCTATTTATAAATGTTCTGCGCACTTAGTAATTGAAAAACAAAAAAAATCCAAGGAAATATTACCATTCGACGAGGGATAGTACGCTTATTAAAAATACGTCCGTGACAACAATGTCGATGACGGGTGCGATAAAAAATGTCGGCGTTATCCGCAAATATCCGGTTTGGAGGACGAGAGCTGCATAAAAAATTCGCACGCAACATGGCGTGCGTAATTCGAAACACACACTCGAACCAACTGTCTAATTTGCGGAGGGTCGCAAATTCGGCTCGATATTAACGTAAAACGCAAGATAAACCGACCAGGCAAAATTCTAGATTTTATATAAATTTTTTTTACAAATTAATTAAATTTTTAATGCAGAATATTCTCTCTGTGAAATAAATCTAAGTTATATTCACATGAAAATTTTTTTTTTTTTATAAATGTAAGCAAAATTTTATAGAATTATATTTAAAAATTATATCAAACAAATTTTGTTCTCGTTACGTGAAACCTGAAAACGACAAAAAAACTCCGAAACAAACATATGAAAAAAACTGTACACGAAATTTTGTTAGAACGATCGATCAAGACCGAACACGTCGATCGAAAACTTCAACTCAAAATCATGATTTTATTTGGCGTTTTAGTAAATTTCAATCCGCTACTCTTACAATGTGAAGCACATTTACAAATTTTGAGTTACTTCAAGATTACAGTTTTCTCGGGTAGACCTACAGTTTTACATTAAATCCATCGCCCGGCTCAAAATCAACAATGTTCAATTAACCCTCCCGGCAATACAACGCCGTTCTCGTTTTCAAACACAGACACATCAGACAAACAAACCCGATCAGAGGGAAAGTTTGTTGATGCTGATTCACGTGTGTGTGTGTTTATGTATGTTTCCGCGCGTCTATTATTATTTAAATATATATCTATATATAGAACAATCCCTTCCATCGACAAAGAGCGTGCGATACAATCGGAATCTTCCGAGCTCGTTAACGAACGCAAGTTTTTTTTGCGCGAGGCAATGCCGGCTGCCGTGCGATGGCAAGAAGAACCTCCCCACGATTCGCCGTCGGGAGAGACAAACAAAGCGCGGAGACTGTTATTTATGAGAGAATTTGTGTGTGTGTACTTACTTGCTGGATTTCCGGCCTTCTTGCAAACCTTGGAACATGTTGGTCGATGTCATCTAAACGACGGGATCGAGAAAACCTTCGCACGACGCGGACGACGGACTCGCGGACAATTTAGCGGCACGCACCACCGAGAAACCTACCGACCGCGAACGCCGACTGTTCTCTTTGTCGCACGGAAATCAAATAGTGTCGCGACGCGCGATTGGTCGCCTCGGCGAGTCGCCGGTCAGCTGACCGCTTCGACGCCAGTGACGTGCGAATCTAACGCTCGCGGGGCGTCACAGGAGCCCCCCTCGCGGGAATAAAATAAAAAAAAACGTAAAAACGTTCTTCTCGAAAAGTTAAAAATATTAAATAGTTTCACGCTTTGAGAAGAAAATACGAGCAACTGAACGACATCGACGCGACGCAACATTTTGCGAACGAGCGATTGCTATAGTTAGTCGGTTAAGCGCACGCTGGCGCTACTGACAGCCGGCGGGAAAGTCATCCCCTTGCTCTCACGCCCCTGTTCTACTAACGTACGTACGTTCCTTCTTCCATCTAGAACGCGTACATTTTCTATGGAGATAAGAGAGGTCGCATTTTTTTGACAAGTTTAATATAACCACCTTTAATATAAAAATACCACATGTGTCGTAATCAAGAGTTTAAAATCCACCCCCACTGCATAACCGGCGAAAAACAAGTAATTCGTAAATTATAATTCAAACGCGCAAATTCTTGCTTTCTCCCAACGAAAAGAAATCTCCCCGGCAATGTGTCAAAGTTTGACAGTTTCTTTGTTTTGACGTTCTTTTAACTCGGCGATAAAATGCATCGGCACGACATCCTGATCCAGGAGATCGAAGGCATCGACGATTACTTGGGCCCGACGTTCAGGTGAGCGAAAAATCGACAGCTCCGAAGTTAAAGGGTAAGATACCCTCTCGAAATACGCGCCTCATCCCTCGAATTCACCCCTTTACGCAGGTGCCACGGTCGCATGTGCGCACTCGGGGGGTGACTTCAAAGATAAGGGTGGGTAATAGTCGTGTGCGCGCACACACAGACGCAATTCGTATTTCGAACGATTTTTGTAACAGGGTAGTAATATGTCAAGAGTGTCAATTAATTCGTCGCAAAACGTTCTCTTGTCGTCCATGGCGCCGAAACACGAGTATCTACTCTTCGAAATAGAATCGACCGATACTAATAGCATAGGTCTTGTTTTTAGGTATTTAGAACCGGAGGAGTGTGTGATATAACACGCACAAGCAAAACAATGCGCGATTTATGAGAGACTTGACATATCGTGTTCTCGGTTACAGAGCAATTTACGATGGCCAGGAGCATCACAAGTTTATGGAGAAGCTCGACGATCGCATTAAGGCTCATGACAAGGACATTGAGAGGATGTGCAACCATCATTACCAGGGGTTCATTGATTCCATTCGGGAGTTATTGCAAGTTCGCTCTCAAGCGCAACAATTAAATGTTAGTTTTTTTTTTTAAATCCAATTAACACACTGGGCTGAAACAATAAGTTGCACAATAAGTCTGGATGTTGTATGTTGGCTAGAGAGAAAAAGATTTTTATTCATTGCATGCAGGCAGAAATTTTGGAGCTCGATAAACGTATTACCTCGACATCTTCCAAAGTGATAGAGAAGGGTGAGGAGCTTGTGAAGGCTCGGAAAGTCGAGAGCAACATGGCTGCTGCCGTGGACAGTCTTACTATGTGCCTTCCCGTCCTAGCTGCATACGCGAAACTACAAAAGCAATTGAAAGACAAGCGTTACTATCCAGCGCTGAAGACACTGGAGCAGTTGGAGCACAACGACTTGCCAAAAGTTACGAACTACAGATTTTCCTCACAAATCACACAACAGATTCCAGAGTAGGTTCTCGGAAATATTTTGCTGTTTTCTATTGCAGCAACATTGTGAAATCGTCTTTTCCTCAGATTGCGAGAGAATATTAAGGACGCCTCTATGTCTGACTTGCGAGACTTCTTAGAAAATATCAGAAAATATTCACCAAAGATCGGTGAAGTAGCAATGAGACATGTGGGTACAATTTTCATGTATTTGCACGAGTTTGCTTTCGCGAGACTTTAAAACGCAACAGCGATGTGCCAACTCTAGAATATTTAGTTTTGTATTTTTTTATTTTCTACAGACTGCCGAACAGCTGGCTGTTGAGGCAGAAATTATCGGTAGAAAGAAGAGAAGATCTCACGCGAACAATCAGACAAATGAGGGCGAGGAGGAACTGAGTGCTCAAGATTTGATGGATTTTAGTCCGGTGTATCGATGTATGCACATTTACACCGTGCTCCGAGAAGGAGAAACTTTTAAAACTTACTATAGGCAACAGAGAAAGCAACAAGCAAGACTGGTTTTACAGCCACCCATTAACATGGTAAAAAATCTTCGTCCGAGCGGTGCCAAATCGGGAGCGTTTGTGTGCTCCGGTAATTCCGTTTGTTGATTGTCAAAATTTCTAGCACGAGAGTATAGTCGGGTATCAGACTTATCTACACGGCATTGTCGGTTTCTTCGTGGTTGAGGATCACATATTGAACACGGGCAACGGATTGGTCACTCGCGCGTACCTGGACGAACTCTGGGACATGGCGTTGTCCACCATAGTCAATGCTTTGCGCACACATTCGGTAAATTAATCGTGTTCTTTTCACGTCACAACTGGAAAATAGAAGATATTATCAGTATTTTGTATTTTCAGGCATATTGCACAGATGCCAATTTGATATTAAAAATCAAGAATCTTATTATGCTGTTCAATACTACCTTAGGTGTAAGTACACGAGTCCGTCTTTATCTTTTCATTGCGCATAATTGTACACAATCGAACTGTTTTCTCGTTTGTCACCAGAATTACGGGTATACTTACGTAGGACATCTTTGGGACTTGTTGCAAGAAATTAGAGTTCATTACAACGAAGTGCTGATGCAACACTGGGTTCAAGTTTTTCGAGATATTTTGGACGAAGACAGTTTCCTACCGATTCAAGTGAGTATTTTTATATGTACATCTCATACTTGTGCAAAAGCATTCGAACTTTTGTTTCAACTTTTGTTTTTTGAATTTGGCAATCGCTGTGCGCCAGGTTACAACGCAAGCGGAATACGACGAGGTCCTCAATCTGTTTCCCTATCACGACGAGGAGTTGCAGAAATCCGAGTTTCCCAAGAAATTCCCATTTTCAGACATGGTGCCGAAGGTGTACCAGCAAGTGAAAGAGTTTATTTACGCCTGCTTAAAATTCTCCGAAGATTTGAACTTCACCCAGAAGCAGATCGACGATATGATATGCAAATCGACGAATCTCCTGCTGACGAGAACGTTCAGCGGATGTCTGTCGTCCTTGTTTCGCAAGCCGTCTCTGGCGTTGTTGCAAGTGGTACAAATTATCATAAACACGAAATATCTCGAAAAATCCACGACATATCTAGAAGAATTTGTATCTAATATCACTGGGTAAGAATTTCTTAACATATCGCCGTGTTAACTTCTCTCTCTCTTTGCGTGTCACCCGTTATATGTATCAAAGTTCTTCAGCACGTCGCACGAGGGGCAGTTGAGCTCCATGAGCGTCGAGTCCGCCATGTTTCGGGTCGCGCGGGACGACGCTGAAAAACAAATTTGCGACAAATTAAAGAACAAGCTGGACGAATTCTTGGAGTTGGAGAATTACGACTGGAATTTGGCGGAGCCTCAGGGACACGCCTCGGGATTCATCACGGATCTCATTGCATTTTTACAGAGCACCTTCACGTGCTTCACCAATCTACCGGTAAATGTTGCAACGCGGATGCAACAGCATTACATGAGGATTCCTGAATACAAGAGAGAACTAATCGTTAACGTTTCAGGACGAAGTGGCTCAAGTGGCGTGCAAATCCGCGTGCTCGCACATCGCAAAAGCCATATTGGGTATATTGATCAGCGAGGATGTGAAGCAAATTTCTATGGGCGCGTTGCAGCAAGTTAATTTGGACACGATACAATGTGAACGTAAATTTCCATAAATTTTTGTCTCACGTGAAAATTTGTGCAACACGCACGTTCTTGAAGAGAAAGATAGGAAATTCGAGAATTTCGAATCGTTTGTTGCAACTTTCAGAGTTCGCTGCTTCCGAACCGGTCGTTGGTCTACCGGAAGGAACCTTGTTGCAATACTTCTCTCAGTTGAGACAGTTGTTAGACTTGTTCATGAGCTGGGACTGGCCTACCTACTTTCACGATTACGGTCACGAATCTAGTAAATACAACTTGGTAACTCCAAATATGGCTGTGCTTCTATTGGAAAAGTATGTAATATGAATTCATACCTCAGGAAAAGTTTTGTCCATACACAAATTCGACGACATGGTTTTTTTTTCAGGTTGAAAGAATCCGACAAGAAAACCGTGTTCTCCGTGTTGAAGAAGAGCGAAAGGGACAAGAAGAAACTACTCGAGACAGTGTTAAAGCAATTGCGTCAATTGGCGCAGACTACTCAACAGCAGTAAAACTTGTAAAATAAAAAAAAAATTAATAATGTAAAATAACATATATATATATATATATAAAAGTATGTATATAGAAATATATAAAAGATAGTTTTTATATATATATACATATATATGTATAGATATCACACACAAAAAAAAACTTAGATCTTTATATTCAATATTTATTGTAAACGTTCTGTTCTTTTTGCCTCGTATTTTTTTATAAAATATACTTGTATAGACGTTTTTTAATCATATCATTTCATATTAACAGAATATTTAATTGCGTGTATACTAGCGAAAGGAGACTGGTAATACGCGCGCAGCAATTTTTTTTTTTTTTTTTAAATTCTTTTTTCAAAAAGAGATTTGCAATACAAATGATGTAAAAATCAGCAGAGAGTGGGAATCACTTGAAGTGCGACGCGGTTGCTCTTGTATTTCCCATATACTTATTATTTTAATCATTTCTTTTTCTATATATTGTTATATTACATGTAAACAAGTCACATATCGTACAATTACTGTACAGCAGATTAAGTATGGTGTATGTCTGTGTGTGTGTGTGTATAAAGTTTCAATTCTTCTATGTCTCGCAAGAATCCTCGAAATGAAATACAAAAACAATTCTTCCCATGTAATTGTTTGCCTTAAATCCGCGAAGAACTCTCACATCACGATTTAACAACTGTTGAAAAAAAATGTTTCGGTGCCGAAATCATCCTTGTAAGTTAATTACCAAGTTAATTATCAAGAATGTTATAAAGAGAAAATGTGTGCGTGTGTATGCGTGTGTGAATATTAAAATAGAGATTAAATACAAATCAACAAATATTTCCAGTAAATATATCAAGAGTATAACACCTTGCTTATGAAAAATGTGTATTTAGCGGAAGTAAAAACAAAAGTACCAATGATATCCGTAATGACGAGTCTGTTGCGTGTGGCACAAATTTAGTTTAGCGATGTTTAATTATCGATTAAGACTAGTCATCAATATTGTCCGGATCCACATCGTCGGGTAGCATACTGTATTTGTTGGAAGCAACAAAATTCTGTAAAAACAAAAAAAGAAAATGACCACTTCGACATCATCGCCGCGTTTCATTACAAAAAAAAAAAAATGTTATTCTTACCGGAGCTTGCTCATCTTTTGCCTTCGGCATTCTGCTAATTTCATCTCTTTCCCTGCGGTCCCTGGAAAACAAAACGATAAACAAAACACAAACAATGTGTGAGCATAATTTAGTTGCGCGTTACGTCCACGCGCGTATATGTATATTTCCTCAAACTACCTTTCCGGAGCTGCACGAGCGTCTCGCTCGGTCTTCTGAGACGATTTCGACGGTGGTCCGGAACGGGAAGCCGGTGGCGCTTTGGGTCCATTTTGTTCATCTACAAAAAAAAAAAAAACAAATTGCTCATCAGAGTTTTTTGTGACATGTCGCAAATTTACACGTTTAATTTACCAGAACGAGCGGAAGCGGGTTGAGACCGAGGCGCAGATCTCTCGGGTCGAGAACCTTTGTCCTCTTCCGATCGCCAAGTCGGTCGACTTCTTTCTTTGTCTCGCTCTTTTTCGTCGCGTCCTTCCTGCAAACGAAAAGTTATTTTCGCGAGCGTTACGTCACGTCTTTTTATGATGTCATATCTCACACGTATGTCGTTACATTTGAATACTTACTCCATTGCGTCTACCCCAAGTACCATCTCTGCGTTCTCTGCCTTCTCTGACTTCTCTGGCTTCCCTGGCTTCCCTGGAAAAAAAAAGAACACGTGATCATTAATTTTTTTTTAAACATACGAATAAAAAAATTATATAAACAACAAAATTACTTTATTCTGCAAATATTACAAGTATAAATGCGTATTTTTTACTTACGCCTCTTCTCGGGATCGCGATTCTGCGTACGACTTGGCGAGACGCTCCTCTATTTCGCGTTCTCGGGCGGTGGTATCTACAGGTTTCGCAGCGCCGAAGATGTTGGTCGCCGGTGCGGCTGTAGGAGCCGGACGCTGAGCCGGTTCCGAACTCGTAGGTTTCGATTCCGCCGAGGTCTCTTTGTTAGGCTCCGATTCCTCCGCCACCTGGATAGGCTCCACGGGTTTGGTTCGCGGTTGCAACTGCAACTTCGGTCTTTGTCGCGGCTCAGCTACGCAATTACAATTGAAGAGAGCGCGTGAATAATTTTTATTGAGAACATGTACTTACTCTCGAGAACCTTAAACTCAAACGTCATATGCTCACGTTTCGCGTCCCGCTCCGGTCGGCGATCCCGATCCCACTCGGCATCACGATCGTAATTGCGACGAGGTCCGAAACTGCTGCTTCGATCTCCCTCTCTGTCTCTGCTTCGGCCTCTATCGCTGAAGCGATTCCAATCTCGTTCTTTACTATCGTCCCGAAAACCAGCTCTATCTTTGAACGACGATCCCTTATCGTTATTGTCTCTCTCGCGCCACCCGCCAGGTTTGTTATCTTGTTCATATCCTGTTCAACAGAAGAAAATTGTTATATTACCACAAATCCAAGAAAATTCGCTCTTATTTCATCGAGCGTAATTCCGCACGCTCAATCCGTCAGAAAAAAAAAAAGAAAAATGTACTTACTCTCTCTGTCATCACGCCGGTCTCTGTTGTCGAAACGATCCTTGTTATCATATCGGTCTCTGTCGTACCGACTGCGATAAGAATCACTGTCGAGCAACTCCTCACGCGGCCCGCTCCTCCAATCGCCGGATGTGCGTTCTGGATCATCATAATTGTCTCTACGCCCATCTCTGCCCATTCGGCCACCGCCGCGACGATCGTCATTACTGCTGTTTGAGACCTCAATTCTCACTCGCCTTGTTTTGATAGTCTGCAAAATAATATAAAAAATGATGAAAAAAAAAAAAAAAAAACAATTGCAATTAAAAACAGTCGCAAAGTGATGTACTTACTGTATTCGTCATTGAAAGAGCATCAATTAGGCTCTGCCGATCCTCAAACTCGACGTATCCGTATCCTCTAATTTTAGTTTGGTCTTTTGGTAAACGCATATTGGAAATCTGCACAAATCACGAAAAATCAAAATTAATTACCAATTGAAAAACGAATCGAAAGGAGATTACACGATTTCACTGAAATGTGCAAACAAAACTGTGAGAATGACAGTATGGACATTTGTGTGAAAACAAACCTTCATCTCTGCAAAGAAGTCCGTTAGATCGGCCTCATCTACATCGTAGGGTAAATTGCTTATGTAAGCTACATAAGGTGGATTTGTGGGAATATTTTCTTCATCAATCCCAGGCCCTCGTGCGGCTCTCGGAGCTGTTGGTAAAATAACTTGCTCCTTGCTACTCCGTGAGGAATAGCCTTCTACAATGTACATTAAAAGATAGAGGGTAAAAAACAATTGCGTATAAATTTTATTACAATATAAAAGAGAGATACATGATAAAAATTCATATATTTCACAAGAATAATGCATATGTTACCACGAACATATATAAACACAAATTTACTAGATTTTGAATAAAATATTCTGGCTATTTACATATTATACATAAATATTCTTGACTTATAAGAGATTAATGTATTATTTTATTCTCTTCTTACATATATGCACACATGCACACAATTTTAACAATCAAGAAGTCACTCTCTCACACAAATTATGACAATATCAATGCTATGATAAATCTATTCCAAATTGAAGCAACGACATGATTTTTATCACTTACCGTGATCATCCTCAACATCTTCAGCCCAGCTGGAAGTTTTTACTGGAATCGTAGGAACTGGTCCGCTGCCGTCGGCCAGAAATGTGCAGAGGTCGATGGTAACTCCCTTCTTCTTCTTACCCTTCTTGCCTAAAAAGAAAAACGCGCAAGGCCGATGAAAAAAAAGACGTGTCGTCGTCGCGGCAGCGTGTCTAGGTGCCAGCGTAACATCGAAGGGGGCATGGTACGCACGTCGTCGCGTGCTGTTTGGTTAGGTGTGAACATGCGGAGCGGGAACCAACGACGCGAGGAAACAATTCGCGATTATCTTATCCGAATAAAAGTTGCTCGTTTATCGAAATTTAAGGTCGCGTTGAAGAGGAGGACGCTCACCTGAAGACATGGTTACGATCGAAATTGCACAGGACCAATATCCAGGTCGTGTCTACGTGAACCACCACGGCGCACCGAGCCTGCCTGCGAAATGCGCAAGATGTCTCAGTTTTCTTCAACTCTGCGTCCCGACGTTCACGAGTCGCTGCATATGCGCAACCACAAAATCATAGTTCACGTGACATGTTCTATAGAAAGTGTGTTCTTTTTCTCTAGCGCCGGAGCTGCAATAAGAACTACTTAAATCGCGATTGGCTCGTAAAATCAGGATTTAAACTCATCTGTCCAATTGCGGTTCCATTATATAATGCATTCGGTAAAATCTATTACACTACACTCGATTCAATTAGAGAAGAGAATTTTACTGCGCAGAGGAAGAAAACCGGGCAGAGTAGGGCTGCGTTCCGTTTCACGCATATGCGCGCATGTATCTATAGTACACGTGACGTATAGTATAGATAAATGCGCGCATATGCGTGAAACGGAACGCAGCTTAGAAATAGCGTTGCGTGCGGGATTGGCGGGACACTTGCTGACAGCCAATGGCTGTGAAGTGGAGAGACTTTCTTGTAAGAAAAAAACGAACGCGTTTTCCTCCGTTGAAATTCTCTTCTCTAATTGAATCGAATGTACTTTCATTTCGGAGCAAAAATGTCAAAATTGTTCTGTTTTGAGACTGCACTAAACTGCTCTAAACCTTCGATTAGACAAGCGACAATAAGTCTTGTCCTTACGAACCAGTTCCACATAAGTTTACAACTTTTTACGTAAAGCGAAGATCAATCTAAACTCATATGTCTACTTTTGATAATGGAGGCCTGCCTCCACGTATACTTTCCCAGAGTTGGGTAGTGTCTAGTTAAAAAGATAAAAGTTAAGGTAAAAAGTTAAATAATTTTAACTTAGTTACATTTTTAGACTCTTAATTTTTACCTTAATTTAGTTATATTTTCAACAGAATATATTTAAGGCCGATGCGAGCCATTCGCAGGATGTTTGTGCGGAAACTAAGCGTGTACATATATATATATATACATGTAACGAATTCTACTTGTAAATTTTTACAAGTATTTTTTGAATTGAAATCTCAATTCTTAAAATTAGTTATATTTTATCAATAACTGTTAACTTTTTATTTCACCTCTCTTCAAGGTAGCCATGCCATAAGATTTTGATTTTCGTGCAAAATTGTTTGCACGAAAATCAAAATTTCGCAGCTCTACTTATTTTTTATCCAGAGAGAAGACTGAGAGCGGTCTATTAAAGAATGTATAAATTGCTTTATTGCATTGTAAGCCAGCGCAAAGTCCATGAGTGGTGCACACTAGCAACCATATAGCCATGTCCATGACCGACATGTCGCGAGTACATTCCTACCTTGGCAACCAAAAACTATAGTACACGTGACGTGAAATATAGCATTTTAGTAACCAAGATAGGATCTTGGAACATATCCCGGTACGTACGTTATGTTCAAACGTGGACATAGTTCTATTCCACGACCGTGCAGTTTCTAAATTGTGCGAGTTACCTCATATTACTAATGTCTTTAAAACCCGAATTGAAATGTCACAGTACTCGCCAACACACAGAGAAACGAATCAAATCATGACAGTTTTATAACCCACATAATACAATATGAGAAATGTCAAAATTAACGCGTGAAAATCAAACTCTAAAAATAGAAAGTGAGAGGAATGGAAAAACAACACGTGGCTAAAGTCACGTGATTAAAAAACGTGACGAGTAAGGTCACGTGACAGGAAGAAGAGGAAAGACACGTGACTAAAATCACGTGTCTTTACAAACGCTTTTTTGAAATTGTTTTTTACCCAGCACAGCATAATCAAAAAAGCGTCAGGTTTTCAGGGCATTTTAGCTCTTGCATCTTAATCTATATTACACTTGAACTTGTGTACATAGCAACACACAGAATGGAACCGCACGCTGTGGACATAGCACGAAATAATTGACAAAATTATGTTCTATTATCTATGTTTGGATATAGCTTAATCACCGACAAGTCGTTCGTGGACATGGCCACGTAGCTGCTAGTGTACATCATCCGCGAACATAGCAGTATGGCGTACAGGGCGGAAAAGCTAGTATAGGTTTTCCTATGGCTTTGATCGGTCTCAGTTTTCTCTTTGTTAATACACAAACAATAAATTTTATTAATCAAGTCTATTTCGTTTTTTTTTTTATAGAGAGTAGTCTTAGCCGGTCTTCCGATTTGAAAGAAAAACTATATTGAGTAATGCGTTTAATAAACTGTTGATACAAAATTTTGCAACACAAAAAAACAACTAATATATTGTTAATATAAATCGTTTTGTCTTTTCCATAAGTGACAAAATGACATGAAAAACAGCACGAATTTGTCAATCTACTTTGATTTGTAACGCTGCCATCTTTTCCTTATGTTTTTCCGTACACAAGTGCTCACGTAACAATATCAGGCCAACTATTTGCACATCGCACAACTTGCAGAAAATATTTGTTGACTGCGACAGTGTCTCCCTAAGAAAAAGAATAGAACATACGTAATAAATTGTTTTTTTCATCGTACGCGGTATTCTTAGTTAAACCCGACTGTTTTCTAGAAGTAGCATTCAATCACGAGTCGCACGTAAAATGCGTTCGAAGGGTCAGGATGAGGAAAACAGGGTGGATTAGAATTTTTTTTTTTTTTTTTTATATACATGTAGAAAAAATGTTATACGTACTCTCTGGCAAGATTATGCAATTCAAGGACATTCTCCACCAACTCTTCTTCTTTCTCATTTCTTTCGTACAGCTGTAATACTTTGTGAAACGTATATATATTATTTTCCTTCACGTTTTCTGAACGAGGACAATAATAGCTGTCGAAACAGTTCCATTTGTACATGATATCGTCGTTGCTTATGAGCGATTTCAGCGGTTTTCTTTGTCTGTCTTTGAGTTTGAACAAACTCCGTGTGATTTGATTCTGACAATTCACAATGAACTCGTTGTCGGAAACGTTGCCGATTTGCATCGCGCTGCTCATCCAGTAACGTAATTTATTTACCTGTAAAAATAAAAGAAATCCATCTATTTTTCTCCGCAAGTCATCTTCATCACGCACGCGACTTTTATTCAACGTGACGAGAGAAAGAGAATTAAATTATGTAACTCCACGTGTTAGCAGTACCTCCAACATGTCGTCAATTGAGATTTCCACGTCAAATTCGATCTCCATGTCGTTCTCTGGAAACATAGACCGATTGGTGCAACTGTCCATCGGACCCAGGCCGCACAACGCCCCAGTGTAATACATCCGTCGTGAATCGCATCTCAGCTCTATGCGCGGCGCAAAGCACAGCGCGAGCAACGACGCGAATCCAGGAATATTCGGCAGAAACGTCGTGTTTCTCAGAATTAAATTATCGTTAGAAAACACTTTTTGTACATTCTGGGCGACCAGAAAACGATTCTGCGTCTGAGTGGGATCGATGTCAAGAAGGATAGAATTCACGGAGTTTGGATCTACAGATATTTTCTTGGACTTTCCAGCTTGTGTTAATTGGATCAGTTCCATTTCCAAAGGAGAAAACGGACCGCGAAGGACTACTGTATCGGAGCAGTTCTTCTCGTCAGGCGGATCGGGATACTGGAACAAAATCAAAAATTCTTGTAAACGTGTTATGTAAATATTTATTGTTTTTTTCTCTCTTCAAACGTACGAGACTGAACGTCAGTGATTCAACAAAGCGGGCACTTACTTGCGACACCAAGTAGTCGCGATCGTACTGTTCCTCCTCGTAAAATTGTCTCTCCTCCACCGTGATCTTCTCTATATTCATCATGCGCACTCTCCTTTCATGATTATGCTTCGACAAGTAACTCTCCTCCGTCTTCACCGCCAATCCTTTCTCGACCAAAACGTCATTGACATTTATCTGTCTTTTCTGACTGCAAGTGATCAACTCCAAATTAACAACGCTGTCAACAACCGAGTAAATTTGTCCGTAAATCTTTTCGCTCTCCTCGATCTGCTTTCTGAAATAATCATTCGAGACCGTCGACCACTGACCGTAGAAATTGGCTTGACTCGAAGGTCGCAGAGACACCAATCTGCAACGAAACGCCAGACAGGGAATTTTCAAGATCTCGGGGTCGTTGATTTTTCGCAGACGATTGTAATGCAACTCGGCCGTAGAGCCGTGATCAATAAAAAGAACGTTGAATCTTCCGTTTCCTAGGAACTCCTCAATCACAGCACGTTCGTAACGGGAGTGATTATTCTTTCTCATAGGAGCGGCAATTATGTCCGATTTTTCGGGATAACGACATAGTTCTGTTAAGGATTCGACACTGAGCCGTTTCTCGATTAAATTCGTGTACTTAGACGTGGCGTCGTCGTCGAAACTTGCCCAAAAATGTTCCGGGTTGACAATCTAAAAGCGATCATTGCGCAACAAACGATAAACAAAATTTATATTATTATTCGGGGGGTTTTTTTTTAGAGAGTTAACAACAATTACCTTTTTTATAGACAGTGGTATAAATGTCACATCAAGTTCGGGCAATTTTGGTCTGATTTTAGGAACGTTATTCTCTATTGATTTATTATTCTTGGTGAAATAAAGTTTCTGCTCGAATTTCTGAATATTATGTCGCATCGCCAACTCCTTCTCCTTCTTTGTATCATTCAACACTTTTATTCTGATTGGCACTTTGCACATTTTCATCCTGACAGCCTGTATTATATAAATACGTCAATTTTTTTACATTATTCATCACACACTTTCTTTCAAGAAAAATATGTTATTTAAATCACATAAACTCTTGTAAAAATATATTTTTTGTAACATATAATTTAGTTTTTTTTATATATATAATTTTTTACCTCGTAAACAAAATCTGACAGAGTGTGAAGACTAACAGCGGAAGTTTGCTTCTTGCAATAGTGAATGTAAACACGTGACGAATTGTCAAAAGTTATCGCTATTCGTTTTTCTGGAATTTTCAAATTCCTTGAGAAAATCTCTTGAAATCTTTTCGCGTACAAGTATCCCAACTGATCATTCGGCCATCCTCTGAGATAAACTGTATTCATAGGACTTAAGATGCCTCCTAGAGTTCTGCTGATCTCTTTCTTAAAAACCTCGGGATCGTGAAACTGTTTGACAAAATAATTGGGATAAAACGCTCCCGCGAGGATAACTTGCAGGACGAAATCGCGATCGTCACCTTAACACAAGATAAGAAAACTTAAAATAAATATGATAGATAACAGCAATAAATCGTCAAAAAGTAGTGAATGAAAACAAAAAATCAAATCGATAAAATGTCCAAAAAAAAAAAAAAAAAAACAGGAAAAAAGAGAAACGGTTATTGAAAATTATTTGTCAAATGTTATGTGTGTGTGTGTGCAAATAAATAGCAAAACATACCTTCCCAAACAACTTTGTTAACATGAGCGCTTTCTTGAATGTCATTTTTCATCAACCTATCAGTGATCTCGTACACCAGAGCGTTCAATTCATGCAAAGTCTTCTGATTCACCCCGTTCATTTCGGCCCAATGTTTCTCATCCAGTTTAGTGGCCAATCGGCGAATCGCTTTTTCCTTTTTCCATTCGTTGTAAATATTCAAAACAGCAATGCAATCGCTGTCGGAACCGCAGGCCCATTTTCTTCGAACAATGTAAGAAGATACGGTAGGCCTCAAAGTATTATTGAAGACGTCTTTGAGAGCCATGCTGCATCCTATGACAATAGCGTCTTGCAAAATCCCAAAAACGTGGCCCAACAAAATCAACTTCGAAATTCGTATGTCAAGCGGAAGAAGCGCCATTAATCTTCCGAGATCAGTCAACTTTCCGTCGTACGGTTGAAAGGAATCGTCCTCATTTATCAAAGCTCCGACTTCCTTCAACACCAAAATGGTATTCGCCAAGTCGACGATATTGGGTGGATCGAGGGCGAGAGACAGAATAGTACGCGGCTCGCCAATGTCGAGGATTTTTGCACGGAGAACAACATTGGCGAGCGGAGCTCGAAGCAATTCCGGAACGCTCTCTTCTTTGATAATATTCTGAAAATTTTAGCGACGCATTTAAATTTTTGTTGTATTGTGAAACATTGAAGTAACTTTTTTTTTACGCGTCACATACGTGATAAAACGCTTTTGGTATCAATCTGTATACTCTGCCGTCCATTACGCGACCGGCTCGGCCAGCTCTTTGCATACAATTCGCTTTACTCGCCCAAGACAATTGTAAGCTTTGATACTGCGTTGCGGAATCGACTTGCAGTATTTTTATGAGGCAGAAATCTATTACTGTAAATTGAAATTAATTGTTACCATCTTTTTCTACATATATGTTAGAAAGTAAATATTAGAGAAAGAGAGAAAAAATATTTAATAAATCTCTACAAATCTTTTTTCATAGAATTTTATCTTTTTTAGTTTATTTTTTGTTAACAAAAAAGATCGTTTTTTCCTCTAAAGAAAGATGAGCAATTATATATTGTGGCAAATACAAGTTTTGTTTTACCGTATTTTGCGTCTGGCACTGTAATACTGCTTTCAGCAATATTTGTAGCAAGTATAATTCGTCTGTGACCTTTTGGCGGTTTGTAAAATATTCTGTGTTGCTCGGCACTAGAAATCGTTGAATGCAGTATTACCATGTCCCACAATTTGTCCTCATAATTCGACAACAAATAATCTTGCACTTCTTCGATTTCACTCTTGCCAGGCAAAAATATAAGGACGGTGTGTCTCTGAAGCGAATTCTCGCTTATGTCGTTACAATCAATGTCATCCAAAGCGATAATAATTTTTGCGCATAACTCGATCATAGATTGTGAGATCTTTGGCTCGGCAGCAGTCACCTTTGGCAACTACAAAAAACTTACATTTATCTCGCGTAATTATGTGTAAATATGTATTTATATAAGATTTATTATTACGTATTACTAAATATTACAAGTGTGATCCATACTCACTGGTTTCATACACGAGATTAAGTCGTCCAAGTAATACATCTGGATATTGAACCGTCTCTTTTCCGGGATTCTGACAATACGCGCTGGGACGCTTGTCTCTTTCACTCTTGTAGAAAAATAATCAGCAAATTTGTGCACGTTCATCGTTGCCGACATAATAACAACTTTCACTTGTATGATACACATTTTCATCAATAGTTTTACAACTAGCAACAGGAAATCTACATTTTGATTCCGTTCGTGAATCTCATCCAGTATGATGTGTGTGTACTTGAACGAGTGCTTCTTGTAAATCAGTATATTGAGAAGAACTTCGGTGGTGCAATACGTCAGGCGGGTATCTTCTGTGACGTCTTTCAACATACCCACTTTGTAACCCACCAGACGATCAAACTCCCTTTCCTCGGCGACTCTTTTGGCAAGACTTATTGCCGCAATTCGTCTCGGTTGTGTAACTAAAAAATCATTTATCTACAATATTAATTCTTGTTTACTCGACGGAAGCTTCATATTTTTTATTACACGTCAGAGTAAAACAATATTTTTGTATAAAACCAATTCCGACAAATTTACCTATGATGTTACAAAACTGTCTTCTTTTTCTGTAAGAGTTGAGAATAAATTGTGGAATTTGAGTTGATTTTCCACAACCAGTTGGTCCCTGAATAATAACCACAGGTTCTGTATCTATCGCCGCTATGATTTCTTCTTTGTTAGAAAGAACAGGCAGCTCGTCTGACGGAACGTACGAAGTATAGACATCTCTCTCATTCTTTTCAATTGAATGTTGCCAATTTTCTGTTTCTTCCAATATTGTATTTGTCTTTTGTAAGAGAGAAGAATCCTGTTCATAAGAACTCTCCCAACTATCCTTGATTTCTTCTACTTGCGTGTTTAACTTTTTTTGATTTAGAATCTATAAATACAACAGAAAAATATGTACAATATTTTGCTATAAAAAAAAAAAAAACTTTTTTGTTACTGACTCTTAAGTTTCTTCAAACTATTATTCAACAGTTCTTCGAACTACTACTCAAAAATACTAAATTGTTTGTAATACATTTAAGACAAAAATTTTTAACCATGTACTTATATATGTATACCATATTAATCTTTAAAGCATTTTAATGGCTATGGGTCACCATAACTCATATTTATATTTCTGCTTTATTTATTAATTTTTTTGTAACTTTGTTGTTACATCATTTGATAATGTATTTGGAATATAAAAACACACTTTTAATAAATTTATCTCTTATTATACAAAATTACAGCTACGCTTGACAAAAGTTGTTACAAAAACTAGATTTATAAAGAAACTATCCCACGATTAAGACGAAAAAATGAGTTAACTTTTTTGCATTGTTATTAAATTTCTTGTATGTTGTTATATTTTTTACCTTTAAAACTTGTTCAGCTTCTGATTCTGAGTAATCCTTTACAAAGCTAGCTTCAGCCATTGTTGTCGGTTTTGTGAAATAATCAGTTTACAGTGGAGCTACGAGCCAACAGTTTTTTTACTGCAGTGTTTTACTTCAAAAAAATTCCCGTCTGTAATTTACAAACAAAAAAAAACAATAACTGCAATAGCGCTCAGTTGTGCTCTCAGCCATTCGAAGGCAGCGACTAGCGGTGCAACTGGACGCGATAACATAAAATTCCGACTTGTCAACGATTGTTTTATACTTAATTTCAAGTAAAGAGGTTGTTTCTTAATTAATCTCGAAAGTGAACTTGTTTACTTGTACATTTTCACCAACTTCCAGTGATGTAAACAAACACCTACCTTCCGCGCGCAGGTTTTGAAATTCTTCTTTCTTTTCCACAAATCTATGCTCGTCCCGCGAGCCAACCCGGTAGACTGAGAGCGTTGTTATGTAAAAACCGTAAGGGCCATTGCACGTACAAGAATTTTAGCCATAACCGTAAGATCGTAAGCAATTCAACCAATAACAGACCAGTATTATTTTACATTAGTTGGAATGCTGGCCAGCGATTGGTCAATTTGCTTACGACCTTGCGATTACGTCTAAACTTTTGCTACGTGCAATGGCCTTAAGTGTTATCGGCGCTAGTGGCGCCGCGATGGAGCGTCGCGAATCATCGCCAACCAATTGGAACGAAGAAATTGGTCGTTCGAACTGCGACTCTGTCCGAATGGGAATGGGAAAGGAGGGGATTTACGAACGCGCAATCGCAGGCCGCACGCGCAAACGTGATCCAATCGCCGCGCGCCTCTCAACGGTCGCAATGGGTGCGTTCAGACAACTCAACGGTTGAGAGATCATCACTCATGATAGGACTATTCTTCAAAATCTGCGGCGGTTCCAAAAGTATGATCCAATCAGAAGTGATTATCTCTCAACCGTTGTGCAACCGTTGAGTTGTCTGAACGCACTCAATGTGAACTCGGCGTGTGCGCATTGGAAATCGAGCGCGTCTGGCAACACTGCGTGCGTGCGCACAGCGCGAAGATCGTGCGCGCAGCTGAGCTTGGTCTCAAAAACTGTCCGGCCGCCGTCATCTGTTTCACGATTGCGGGGTAAGTTGGCTGTGATTACCAATTAACGTTCTGACATAGCGAAGTTCGGAAAATCGCGACGCGAACATCGTCCGAGTGACGCGCGTCGCGTGATTGTCGCAAAACGCGCGAGTGTCACATGGCAATACGAGCCGCATAACGGACAAATATGTTCACGGTAGCCGCCGCCGCCGCCGCCGCTACCGCGATCGTTTGCTGCTCGCGTTTCGCCGCGGACAACTCGACGCCGACGGCGACGACGTCGTCGCCGCGTCGCGGCGCCGAGCGCGCGGCTCCGTATCTCCGCCGGTTTCTCTCGTCTGTCACGCGTCTGTTCGCCGCGGTGGAGTTAACCGCCTGCCGGGTCTCTTCCCGCGATGGCGGTTTTTCGCACGTTTGCCAGTTAACTAAGTCCGTCTTGGACTCGCGACGATCCTCGGTTGCCGTTCGCGAGCAACGCGCGGATCGTACGTGATTTTTCACGCGATTGTTTTTTCGCCGCGGGGGTTATGCGTTCGCATGTTGCGTCGTACCGCGCGTGAGCGTCACGAATATCACCTGTCATGGCGCGCGTCGTGACCCGACATCGTCGACAGCCCCCCAGCAGCTTGCCGAGACTTGTCCGCTGTCTTGAGATCTGTTCACGTTATCTCTAACTCGCAACTCTGAGGTTTTCCTTCCCTCGTTTCTCTCATGTGTTTTTTTTTTTTTTTATTTTTATTTTCTGTTTTGCGTTAGAGATTGCGCGAAATCACGCGGAGCTTGATCGAACAGCTTAGCATTTTTCCGGACTTTATTTACAAACGAACACGCTGTGACTTTTCAACTCGATCGGATTAGAGTTTCTTCTCTCAGCTGATTGACGTCGACATAACCTGACTCAAGTGTCATCGAGAAACAGTTGACAGTCATCTTGTTGGAAACGCGCGGCCACTGTTTAGAACCGGAGCTTCTGTCTCCGTCGTTCTGTCAATTCACCGCGCCGTCGATCATGTGGTAGAGAGACGGAAAAAAGGGGGAGGGCAGTTGTGTACAATGGCGACCGCCACGCGCCATGTCGTGGTCGAGTTTGCGCACGTCTCCTCGCAAGTTCTCCCTCGTCGCGTTCTCCCGTCATGCTTCGTCGACTTGACTGGACTTGACTCCTCCGCATTTCTCATAGCGCTTTCTCACCTGTTCGTCGAAATTGCTCGACATCGTCACGTAACAATCATGTAACTTTCTGACTTATCTCTTCTAGTTCTTCTAGTCTTCTTCGCTTGTTCGCATCTCACACATCTCGCGTTTGTTCTCTCCTTGAAGGAAAAGAGTTGATCGTACGAGTTGACAGTTCGATGGCGAGGAAGCTACGCTTTTCTCACTCGTTTCCTCCGCGACGTTTCTCTCTTGTCTTTCGTCTGGAAAAGGTTTTACGGAGAGAAAAAAAATTCCCTTTTCTTCCCGGAGGCCAAGGAAATGTCCTGAACACGCGACATCCTGGAAACCTCTAAATTTTGTCTCAACCGTGTATTGATTTTTTTTCTCAAGAAGCGGCCGGATTAAAGGCATTGATTTGATAAATATGTTTAACGCTGAGTTAAATTTTGGTATATTTTTTATTCGCCGACTTTAAACACAGAAGGAAAGAGAAAAAGGGGGGAATACGCGTGCGCTTTGCCTGTGAGAGAGTGAGAGTGAATGAGGGGGGGAAAGAGAGAGAGAGAGAGAGGGGGGGAGAGAAATGAAGAACGCAATGTAGAAAACAGCGTGGCATGTCGAGAAAACATGGTTGCTAAAAATAGCACAAAGCATAAAACAGAGTGCAACGCGCGGATTATTATGCGAGGCGCGACGTGTTCTCGAAATAAACGTTTATTATGTTTTCTTTTTTTTTTTTTTTGTTGTACACACACACGCGCAAGAGATTTGATCTCAAAATTTTCTCCGCGAGGAGGATTCGCGCGCGCGGAAAATTCGAAGAATTTGGATTTTTTCGGGAAAAAAATGTCAAATTTGCGCAACGCGACGTAAAACTTGTAAATCGCGTTTTGCGCAACAAAACTACTCGCGGGATAAAACGAGAGAGACCGTTCGCTGATAAAAAAGAAAAAAAAAAGAAAAACATCGAGTAAACAAACCGCGTTTGACGGCTTTGCAATTCTTGCGATTGTCTTATCTCACGATGAGAGATACGTTGCAACCGCGTTTGTCGATTGCGCTGCTCTGTACGACGGTCTCGTCTTTTGAGTAAGATAAGTCAACTTTAATTTAAATGATCAAAAATTACTTTTGCGCGGCAAACACGAGATCTCTCACAAGTGGAAAACATCAATCGAACGGGAGCGACCGAGACAGTTTTTGGGGACGTAATTTAATTTATTGGGTTTTACTTTTTTTTTAGCGCATGGTCCGTTTGACGCAACATGTAACCTTGTCGTTCGAAAGTATTTCGTCGGCGACGAATACGTGAACGAGAACACGTGCACATCGCTCCGATAATGGGCTACGAAGGAGAACAAGTTTGTTACGACGGAGCCGAGTCTCTTGCGCCGTATGTACGTTTTATCGGCGCCAATCGGGATCGCTGATTCGTACCACACCTCCCGCTCGGTCTCCGCACCCATTGGCCGATCTTTCTCCTCGGTTGACCCGGTTTTGAGAAATTCGGGTAAACAAGATCTCTCGACGAGATCTCTCGCGACAGCCGCTCCGAGAAAACCGCTCGGCGCACGTGGGCGAACGAAAAACCCATGAATTATCGCGCGCGCGCGCGCGCGCAGATAAAAAGTTTATTTTGCAAAAATTGCGTCGCGCTTATCGGATGACACATCTCGTATCTCGCGAGAAAACTGAAACATCTACGAGATTACAAAAAAAAATTAGAATAATCGATACATATGTAATTTTTATGTTTTTGAATGAAAACAAATAAAAGTTTTGTAGGTTGCGCACTCGGCCAGTTGATTTTGCGACACATTTAAAGTAAAAAAATGTATAACAGACTTTATTAGTTTCAGAGATTCCAAGTTTCATCTCTCTCGTTTGAAACTTGAGTGAAAGTCGTGCGACGGATAAGAGACGACGCGACTCTTGCGTCGTCAAAAATAAAAAATAAAAAAAAAAAAAGAAATTGAACGAGCATCGGAGTTCATGACGTTGTCGTAACGAAATTACAAACGTGTACAAGCTCGCATGACGAGGACACTTCGGGGCGGCGAGGACGAGGGAGGGGAGGAAAGAATTTGAGCGACACGATTGTAAGAGTGAAGTTTGACTGGCGTTGAAATGAAAACGCGGTTGCGAGCAAGGCAATGTGGAACGGCAGAGCAAAAGGGGGAACCCGGCGAACACGTTTTCGTCGACGAATACAATGGCGTATTCGAAGGGGCGAGGGAGAGAGTGAGAGAGAGAGACAGAAAAGACGCATGCGCGTTCCGCTTGGTGACGCTTCCCGGCGGCGCGCTTGGCGCAGCCATGCTTTCGTGATTTTCGCACGTCGGGCGCGCGTCAAAACGTTTGGGCTCCACCGAGTGCGCATCTGATAAAGTGTAAACAAGCGTCATCGGTCACGTTTCGCTTGGAAAGAGATCGAGTCGAGATTGAGTCTCGAGGTTGACTTTGTCTCACAAAAAAAGTTTCAATCAAACGTTTCGGGAAAGAAAACGGTGAGTGTGTTTGTGGGAAAGTAACGTTTTTATTCTGAAAGGGAGAGAGAAAACACGGATCTCCTCCATCCATTTTGTATATGAAACAAGTGGCCGAAACCGAATCCCGGGCGTCACTTTTTGATACATACCTCGTCGTCATTCGTTTACTAACGGTGTTGATGTTGTAGGAAGGGACGTTGAACGAGCGCCGCTGTGTGTTACGAAAAACGAACGTGTATTTGTAACCGTGGAAAGTTATATATCGAGGAACCACATAAAAGTGCCAGACCCGTTGAATAAACCATTTTTATTTTCTCCGCACACACGCACACATTTCGGCGAACTTGATTTCTCGATTCCGAGGAGTAAAAAGAAGCGAACGAGTGTGTTTCTGAGAGAAATATAAATTTTTTATTTCGAAAGAAAAACGCACACACACAAGGACAAGATTGAAAAATCGATCTATCTCCGAAGAGCGTCGTTTTTTTTAGCCATAATTTGGCAACGTGCTCGTCGTCGTCGCAGCGTCGTGTTGCTGCCTCCGTCGGGAGGATTTCGAGATCGTTTCGAATCTCGGACTCACATTTCTGATATACTCCGACGAAACATGAAGCTAATCGATAATGCGTTCCATAAAGTTAGAAATTGTCAGGACGACTTTAATACGCAATTGATGTTATTTTCACATTTTATCCTGCGATCGTATTTCGTGGACGCTTTAATAAGTACATGCTCCTTGCTTGGTGAACTTCAGGCACGTGCAGTTCCAAATATCAAGTTTTAATTTCAGATTTTTGAAACAGTTTCTGAATGTTTTAAAATCAAATAAAACTAAGACGAAACTGCAAAAATGTAAAAGTTGCTTGATCTGGTTCTGGATCTTTCAGAGACTTTAGTTCGTTGAATTTAAACTTTATTAATCTTATTTTATGTGTACTATTATTATATAAATGTGTGTACTATGTATTACATATGTCTTAAATGTATTATTAAAATTACAGATACGATAGTGGCTACACACAGAAGACAAAATGTTTAGTTTTCACAAACCAAAGGTGTACCGATCACCTACAGGGTGTTGCATCTGCAAAGCTAAATCCAGCAGGTAAAGATAAATGTTTATATTACATATATGAAAAGAGAGCTGTTGTAATATACAACATTGATGTTTATATGACGCAATAAAACAAAATGGTATCGTTATGAAGTTAATAAGAAGATTAAATATATATATATTTTTCTTATTTTTGTTTTCAAGTATATATTTTATATATACTTTTTTTACATATTATTAATATTTTTTATATATGTAAGTATACATTTTTTTTGTTACATAATTGTGCACGCTATAAAGTTTCAAACATAACTTTCTCCCATAGTGACATTCTTTGTACATTTTTGTTTACAGTTCAAGATTTACAGACAGTAAAAAGTATGAGGATGATTTTATGCCATGTTTTTTACTCGAGGAAAGACGTAGTGGGGAGATATGCAATGCATGTGTGCTTCTAGTAAAAAGATTTAAGAAACTTCCTGCAGGGAGCGAACGCAATTGGAGTCATGTTAGTATTTTATACACAGTTCATGGAACAAAATTTAAAACTAATGCAAAACTTTTAACAAAAATTAATTTCTCACAGGTTGTCGATGCACGCGCCGGTCCTGGCATTAAATCGACAAAGTTTAAAGCAAAGAATAAAAGAAGACTCAAAGATAAACCGGAAAAACTGATCAAAAAGAAGCATATCTATGTGAAATCGGAAGCAGATCGAGAACAGAGTCCGGCGATGAGTGACGATTTAAATGGTTTGTTATAAGAGAATAAAAATAAATTTGTATTTTATATTTTTATGAAGATGCATATACAACGTGCAAAAATCTTGTTAATGTTAATAATAATTTAATTTGTTTACTTGTTCTTGTAGATGATTACAGATTAACAGACAGCAAAGCTTCAAGCAGATCGGAAAGCGCTTCGGACGACGACGACATTGGCATTAATGAAAAACAAATGGATATTACTCCTGACGTTCAAGATATACAAGACGATGGCTTCCTCAATCTATCCTACTACAAAAGGTAATTTTTAATAAATTATTGTTTTTTATCTTGTTTGCAAATTGATTATATTACAGCTATTTACCCATGTATTTTATATTTTTTAATTTTTTTTCTTTTTGTGTCACAGGGAAGTGACTTGTTGCGGTAACATCTTCCGAGGTCCGAATGGCGAAGTTATGCTATATCTTCCTTCCCTGAAACCTTGCATGAGCTGCCTCGCCAGGCGGCAGCTCGTCACCTCTTTACCGTCCACCAGTCCTATTCACAGTTCCGCATCTGTCAGTCCTGCTTATAGCGTCGAGTCTACGTCATCGAGCTCCGAAACAACTTCCAAACAGAGCGCCAAATCATTCAGCGACGCGTCGTCTGACTCCGGTTACGACGAGTCCTCGAATCAAGATGAGAATAAGATCGCGAAGAGTATCCTCGTCAAGGAGGACGTGGAGATGATGGAAAATGCGCCGAGGCCCATCGAGCTCGATCAGCTGTCGAGCTATGAATCACTGCAAGTCGTTAACATCGCTAATCATTCGCTTCACTCCAATTAATGTCGGCCCCTTGTAGGGTTAATTTATTCTTTGTCTCACATAAAACATAGAATTATATATATCTATATATATATATATATTATATCATATACACATATACAGGGTGTACATAAGATCGCGTTTGTTCATCAAAACTCGCTTCAAAAAATTTTCTTTGAACAATTTTCGCGTTGAGCGCGCGATATTTAGTTTGTTTAATATTTGTATTCTTCCTCAGAGCGTCTTCTTGTGATGACTTTCAAATTGGAGACAATTTTCCTTAGTGGAAAATGTTCGATTTTTTTAAATATTTTATGTGATGAACACATACAATTTTTTCAGACTCGTTTTCTCTTTCTGTGTGTGATTTCTACATCGTTTGTTGTATTTATTAGGCTTTGTGCAAATATCAGTTTTGAACGAATAATTAGTAATTACAAAGGGAAAAGTTACTTTTCCTTATTTTATTTAAAATATTAAATTTAACTAAAAAAAAACGAATTTAAAATAAAAAAGGAGTCGTAATCCTTTTTAATACAATCAAAGTTTAAATTTTAAGGGAGTGTTTCGAAAAAATTCGATATTTCAAGATTAAAAAATAATAACGATATAAAAATCGTTACTTTATATAATCAGCACGTTTTTATGAAAAAAAAAATATATATATATATATATAATTAGAGCCAATGTTTTATGTCCCTTGAAATTTTACAACTCTTTTGCTATCAATGTCAAATGAAACACCCTGTATATGCAGATGTGTTAATCTTAGATTGTAGATAAGTGCAACATCCCCGGGCAGCAAAATGGCATCGAAACGGTCGAGACCTTCGCTCTCGGTAGGTTTAAAATGCCATTTGGACGCAATTTATCGTGTTAAGGTTACTTCGTAATTTCTTAGCAATGGACTGACGTAAACCGCCATTTCTCGGAACACGTAATCTTTAAGTCTTAAGGTTTAGCAATATAAATACACACATCAAAGTACTGTGATGATATTGTAAAAGTAAGGGACGCTTGAGCATCTCTTACACCGAGCAAGTGACCGAGAGATCTTGGCGGTTTACCCTCTATCGCATTTCTAACGTAATCAAGTGCCACTGCTTAAGGGGAGCGATGTACGCAAGGTGCGCTGGGATAATCGAGAGAAAGCTGCCGAATGAATTGACCAAAAAGAGCTTTTTTTCTTTAAAAAAACAAAAAAAACAAAAAAAACTTGATGGTTGTTGCGGTTACACTCTGTACAAAACTCCAAGCTGCCAATCGATTTTTCGTCCGGGGTCCAAAGATTAAAGATGAGACAGGAACGGGCAGATTGTTTTTGTTGCATTTACTTCCGGGTCACGGCGCTCCATGACGTGAATCAATTTATAATAGCGGTTAAACGGTGTGATCCAAGGTCGATAGCAATAAAACAAAGTCAAATCACTTACGTAGCGATTGAGCAATTGATAAAAAGTCTGTTTTTTAGTCTGTATTTAGACAGTATTAGTGAAAAAAAAAAAATAATAATGGGAGCGGGAGGATCTAGATAGAAAAAAACTTGAAAGTGGCAATCAGATTGATTTGGCAAACTGGACCAGCGAATCTTTTAATATATACATATATAATTTTAGAGAATACGATACTTAGAGATATTTCTATAGATAGATTATAAAGGAGAGTGCAGAGAGGCAGGAATAACATAAGTAAAAACTGTTAGTTCCTAGTTAACAAAGAAGAGATGGGCATACTCCGATTGTGTGTTTAGCGCGAAACAGTTTGTTCAATTCTCGCGAGCGTCTCAAGTTTAATCTCGTCACTTACGAATTTTCTTTGATTGGATTTTTTGTTCTCCAAGAACAAAAGTTCCTTTCATGTTACGTGAATATTTTAAATATTTATTACAGGTGATGGACGAAAAGCTTCGTCAGAAGTTTTTTTTATATAATTTCAAACCGAGCACTACGCGAGCTCTTATTGGACAAACGAAGGGAGATAGTCGGAAATTTGTCATTTAGATTAAAAACAAAAAGTACAAAAACAGTTCTGCAATCGAGTTGTTCTTGTTTTAAACACTGAAGGACTCGAACTTTTTTTTTATTGGTTACTTTTGAGAAAGAAAACAATTGATATACTTAATAACTGCTTTGCAGAACTGTTTTTTTTTTTATTTTGCAACTAGAACTCTTCGATTATGAGCGGGTGCTGTAATATAAACACCGAAGAAAAGTTTATAGTTATTCATGGTGGAAGAGTTTTATTTTTTTGATAAAGATTTTGCAGCAGACACATTTCTGACTATTTTCTCCCCGGCATTTAGCGCTAAACGCGGGAAAGAAAGACGGGCTAAAAAAAAAATAAAAAAATAAAAAAAAGATGTACAAGCCAAGTACCTGCTGAAAACAAGCCGCAACTGTGATCACGGGGTTGTTTTCAGGCTTCTCTTTCCGCTTTAATTCCACGCACAATACGAAATTAAAACATGGCGAAATTTAAATACGAATCATCATATGCGATAATATGTCTGTTGCGAAATGAGTCGAAATTGTCGGAGAATCTGTTTGACATATCGTGATCTCGTTGATCGAAATGTTTGTCCGCGCACAGTTTTCTCTGTTTCGTTAGTTTGTAAAAAAAGGTGTGAAAAAAAGTGAAAAACACCGATCAGTGCGTCCGATAGTTGAACAGATTCTTCGAGATTGGGATTTGCAAATCCGTGAAAGTTCGTGTTCTTTGCGTTTATAAGTACAAACCGAGGTTGATTTTCGATCGATCGTCAAGCACACAGTACCGTAAGCAGAATCGATTGATTCAACTAGTTTAAGTTTTAAGATTTTTATCTTGTTTTTGAACAATTTACGAAGCAATATTTATTAAAAAAAAAAAAAGTACAATATGTCTTCGGTATCTTGGACACGAGCTGAATCACACGGATCTGCAAATCGTGTTGTGAGAAAAATTGAAAAACAAAACGTGATTCTCAGCGTAGGAAATTGGATCTGATGCAAAAACACAAAGAGTAAGAGGTGTGCAATAGACATTATTAATCCCGTCCAAGTGCTAAGCCAAACCCGAGTCATTAATTTTTTATCTTATTCGACAAGAATCGAAATCGAAGTGTTTTTCGATACAAATTCTATAAAAAAAAAAAAAAAAGTACAATTACGACGTTTTGAACTTTTGACGGCGCTTCGCTACAACGGTGCATTCGACAAGAAAAAAAAATTGACAAATGTAAATTTGTTTTGAAGTTACAATAATTGTTGGACTGCGTTATATGTTCACAAAAAGTAATTTGGTATAATTGAAATTGTATAATTTAAATTTAATTAAAGTTAATATTAACTTATTTAATGAAGTTAAATTAATGTATTTAATAAAGCTAAATTAACGTATTTAATATATAAAGAGAAGTGAAAAATTAATAGAAAATATTTGCTTGCTCGAAGCGCGTTTGCTCTATAAATTCTTTAACGTTTATTGCCAACGACGACGGTATTTATAGCTGATATTTATGTTTGTCAGAAAAAAATTTATATAATATATTGTTTGTATTTATATTATCGCCGGCGTTATATTATACGTAGTTTATACGTTGTAGTTTTCTGAGGTGTATAATAAGGGTTAGAAAAATAGGAGATATTTGGATTTTCGTGAAAATTTGGACTAACCGTTGAGTCGCGAATCGTCGTCAGAACAATCGGAAGAATGCTTGTTTGAAAATTGCCCATCGGAACTTGCGAAAGCTCACTGACAATCGTATAAATTAAAAATAACCAGGAAGCGATAACAGTTTTTTCACAATCAAACATCGAAAACAATGTCCGATTTACCAAAGGAGAACGCCAATATGATATACTGGATCGCGCCTTCTCCTTGCGGTAAATCATATTTGTACATTTCTTGTATGATCTCTATGATTTCTTTATACTGTGAGATATAATATACTACTAATTATATTATTATCATCTCCTTATTATAATTTATCGTAGTCAATAATGAGCGACGATAAAGGCTGAATCATATATAAGCGCAACATTAAATTTAAATTGAATCTAGCTTTTTTGATGGTTCTTTTTCTTCTTAATCTACAAAAGAAGTACGAAATATGTATGATTCTGTCTGTACTACACACACACACACAAAGTTTTTTTTTTTATTTATTACATAAGTCGACTTTATTCTCGCAGCTAAGTCTTCTATTCCTATTTTTATTGCGTTCTATTCCTTTTTCTACGTTTATTTATGCGCATATTTGTATACACATATATTTTTGTACGGATTAGTAATCTTAATCTACGTTGTTTCTTTGATCACACGTGATTAACACTGCCAAAAAAAAACGAAACGAGGAAAAGAGTCTCGCAATCACCAGCGAGAGACGAGAGAGAGTGAGAGAGAGAGAGAGAGAGAGAGAGAAAAAGAGAGACGGCAAAGAGTTGGCAATGTACATGTTCGAACGACGATTTATTTATTTCTCCATGTGCTTAAATGATCGTTTAATATTAATTAATTTTTATTGAAATTTGCAATTTGAAAATCTCTCTAGAAAATAAACCGCAAAGTGATTTCACATTTAAAAACACGATGTGATAAATGGCGTATCAATATGATAAATACAAAAAAATTGTGCTCGAGTAAATTTTCGTAGAAATACTCGATACTTTTTAGACAAATGAAGAGAATAATTGTAAATTGAAATTTTATTGATTAGGGAAAATGTTATGAACAAAAAACAAAAGCGCATAAAAAAATCATTTATATATATATATATATATATATATATACATATATAAAAATCTACAGAAGTACACGATATATATCTGTACAAAAATTTACAATAGATAAGTCTACGAAAAGATACAGAAAACAAAATGTATAAAACGTAAATAATCGAAACTACGTAAAAATATATCGCGGAGACAACTGTAACAGGAGCAAAATAATCAATAAACCTTGTCAGTGGTCGATCCGTCGATATTGATATCGCCAATACTTACATACAATTTGTGGTACTTTCCCGTCTTATTGTTGCTTTATTATGAAATTTATATTGATATGTCTCATGTCACAGAGGAAATTGTCGTTTTCACACATATTTATAGAAATAAACATATTTATAGAAATTAATTCGCGAGAACACACGCGGCAACGGCGTTCATCATCGCCGTGAAGATAAACAAGAAAAATTTCTCAAATCTAGTTTATACCAAGTTAATCAAAAAAAAAAAAAGCTCTTTTTTATCGATTTATTTTTCTTCTCAATGTTTTTACAGCAAGTAACTTTGATTAACTTGGAGAAGTAACAAATAAATAATTATTATTGTATTATAAATAAATAAATATATACTAAAATGGTGATAGATTTTTATGAAAAAATAAATTATTTTCTCATTTGCGTGAGAACTTGTTTTAAATTTACATAAATTTAAAATGAGTTTTTATATATGTGTGTGTATATATAATATATGTTAGTATATATTTATTGATTTATATATATTATAATAATCTTATTTATTCTTACGATACGTGTATATAGACTAGATATATATATATATATATATATACATACATGCATACAAAGTAACAAGTGCATATATAATAGTATATGATTATTATAATGATAGACAAACGCAACCGGATCGTGTTCACAAAAGTTTTGATATATAAATTTTCTATAAATATTTGTAAAAAAAAAAAACAAATTACACATATTTATTATGATAGCAAGATTAAATGAAAGCGCGTGTTCTCGTGGTGCAATTCAATCGATGATGATAATGGTCTAAGGACAGAGAGAATATAAGCGAACATAGTGATCTATCCGATAGTATGTGTTGTGATGCGGTCCATATCTCTCGAGTGTTTTTCGCAAAAGCTCTGGGAGTTGATTTGATTTTTACATAAAACGAAATTGTCTAACACAATATTCGTGTATTTTATTAATATTTAAGTAAAAAACACGAAACGTGCAAACGTTTTGAAATAATCGAAACTCTTTGTTCATATTATTTTTTATGAAACAACAAACATTATTATTGTAATACAAATTTGTGTCACAGTAACACAAAACAAAGAATTAGAAATTTGTTCTTTCTAATATCAAGATGCACGGTGGTGCTTCTTGTACGCAAAATTTGTACGATTGAGAAGATTTTCACGGGGCAATATTTTTAATCACGACTGAACCGATCAATTTCGTTTTTTATATCTGACAAGAAAATTTGACAAAAAGAATTTTCGAAGTCTCCACATCCCGGAAGCTTTTGCGTGCGTGTAAGAGAATTATAAGGATAGAGAAATTTTTAACGTAATGCTATAACGATTGAGACTGATCAATATATATATATATGTATTTAATGGATCACGTTTTAATTATAGATATTTACATCATGTGCGTGTGTGTACAGGGGCGAGATTACTTGATCGGTCGGTCGCGCTCTTTGCGGCACAAATTGCACATCGCAGAGTTCTATTGACGACAAGAGCGACGCGACTGCCGTTTATATAAGAAGAATAATAATAATAATAATACAATTATTATACGCATATGGTTTAATATATTAATATATACATGCATATATTAAGTTGATCAGAATAAATTCAGTTGTTTTTTTTTTTTTTTTTTTTTTTTTGATTTAAGCGCGTTTGTTACAGAATCGAAAAATCGATATAACTTTGTATGAAATGACACCTGCGATCGAATAAAAGAAAAAAACAAAAAGAAGTTTTCGATCAACTTAATATTTTACATTATATGCGTACATATATGTACATATGTATGTATGTGTATAATATTTCTCTCGTGTTACAGTTATTGCATATTATATATACAGCATTTGTATATATTATGTATAATACGTATATATATATATATATAAATTCCCTCGATTATTGTGTATAATTAGGAATATTGTGTTTATTTATAAGGAAATATTATTATTATATTATCATTATTATCGTACTTTTGACGATAATCTCGTTGGTTCTCATTGGCCGGAGGTCTCTCGCAGATTTCCGACCGCAATCTTGTGCAACGGACGGGACGATCAGTCCTTTTATATATATATATATATATATATATAAATTAAGATAAGAAAAGAACTATATCATACACTTGTATCCATGTACAACTTTGTAATAAACAAGTTTATTTGTAAACGATTCTGTTAATAGCATACAAATTTCCCAAGTGTACACGTAGATAGTATCGGTCACGTTGCAAAATTATTGTGCGTGTGTGCAAAAGCAATAGTTTTTTTTTTTTCTTTCCGTTCTTTTGTTGCGGTAGAATCCAACTAGCAAGTGTCTGCATCTGTTCGAAATAAATCGATAAATTTCGAATAAATAAATTCGACATTTGCATCATCAATAAGACTATGATTTGTATTTGAAACTGATTCTCGGCTGATGCGATTTCGATCCTCGCTCGCTGGATGTCGACACCGTCGACGTCCCCAGGACGTGTGTGTGCGTGCACGTCCATGGGCGCGAGTGACGTTTCGTCAGTCGCACAATTCGCTCTCTTATCACAGGTGTGCCGTCATTGTCGCGAGATTATCGAGAGATCATCGACACTCGCCGGAGATAATGATCGGTCGCGTTCAGCCACGCCTCGTGACCTTCGACGTGACCGGCACCCTGCTGATGACTAAACTCGAGAAGCATTACGTCGAGATTGGTGCCCAACACGGTCTGTTGGTCGAGCCGAGAGAAGTGGCGCGAAGTTTCAAGTCGAACTTCGCGCGGCTCAGCAAGGAGCATCCGATTTACGGCAAGTATACGGGACTGGGATGGAGAAACTGGTGGCGGACGGTCGTGCACAACGTGTTCCGTGATCAGCACGCATCCGCGTCCGAAGACACGTTGAACAAGGTGATGACACGATTTATCTAATTGTTGTTAACATGAGGTACATGGATTTATAATTGCAGTCGTCGCGATTCAGCGACTCTTTTTCTCAAACATGGAACCAACCGAGTCCGTCTGGCTCGCGAGAAGTTTAAACGAACTTTTTCCAATTTATTTCAATTCCGTCAGTCTTCGAATAAACTTAAACGTGTATTTTGCCTTTCCATTTGCTCGGAAATTAATTTTACACAATATACATTTTTTCGTAACATAAAAACGACCGCCTTTGTAAAGTTTATATCTACGTTTTTCTTAACAAAATTATCTTTATCAAACGAGACCTCGAGGTTTTATCGTATTCCCAGGTCGCCGACAGTCTGATAAGGTGTTACGGCACGAGCGAGTGCTGGCACAAGTACCCCGGCGCCGTCGATCTCCTCGATTTCCTGCAGAAAAGGGACGTGATTCTGGGCGTCATCTCGAATTTCGATCAACGACTGGAGTCGATTCTGAAAGACACGCAGATTCGCCGGTACTTCGCCTTCGTTCTGACCTCGTACGACTTCGGAGTGGAGAAGCCGAGCCTGCCGATCTTCGAGGAGGCGTTGAGACTTGCGAGGGACCTGCGAGGAAAGGACGTGTTGCCACAGGAAGCGGTTCACATCGGCGACAGAGTCGACAACGATTACCTCGGCGCGAAGAGCGCCGGTTGGAACGCTCTGCTGATCAGACACGGCGACGACGAGATCGACAGAAGTCAAGTGCTCGGGGAGGACGTTTTCGAAAGTTTGAAGGAACTCCACAAACACTTCTTTGAAGTTCTCGGGACGGTGTGACGTTCGTGTTTGTTTGTTTGTTCGAAAGATATATCGAATTCGTCGAATAGATAAAAGCAATCTCTCGGTACAACGTATAGTTAACTTATATTTTTCTATTGTACATGTATTTTTGAAGAGCGGATTCTCGTGCAGTAATGAGAGGAGTCAAAAAGTTTTTACTCGATTTGTTTGATTTGAGTGATTCTGATCTTTTTACAGACTCATGTAACATAGATAGATATTTGTAAATACACACAACCGTCTCTTGTTTGCTTATTATACACATTGCGTACAATGATACGAATATGTAAGCTCGTGCGGAATAATGTGCGTGTGCACGTACGTGAAATAATTGCGTACGTCACAAAAGAGTGATCATATGTGATTCACACACATGTCAAGTTTATAGAATAAATAAAACAAAAACAAAAAAAAAATACAGACAATATACAACAGAATATTAAAACATGCGCGCGCGCGCGCGCGTTTATGTGTGCGTGTGTAGTAGTGCGTTCCGTATTGCGTGTGGTATCACTCGCACCGCTTCCGGCGAAAGTTCCTTGACTCCGAGAAGCTCCGACATTTACAAGCTGATCCTCACGTTGTTTTCCAGGTTCACGGTTCTGTAAAGAGAAGACTGTGCACTCCGCGCACTATCCGTGCGCGTTTTCTGACCGAGGACAGAGATACGCTCTCTGGCGTCTATACGTGACTCGTGATCGACGGCGTGGGCGAGATACGGGCCGGTGACGTGTGGCCTGCGCGCCGGAGCAGAGCGGCTGTGAAACGCTCGTCTGTCAGGCGGAGAGAAGCGGGGGAGAAAGAGAGAGAGAGAGAGAAAGACACAGACGCGTGCGAACGGCGCGCTGCGTTACTTGTCGGACGGTCGCGGGCGGTCCACGGGCGAAGTGGTGGTGAGTAGGTTCACGCGCGTCGTTCACAGTGTCTGATCCCACAGGAGAAATCACGGGACGGGATATGCACGATCGGTAATGATCGCGGTGAGATCATCCGTCGATGGACGCGTTGCCTCGAATCTCAAAAAGAAAAACGAACTCTTCCTCGTCGAGTTTGTGGACAGTATATAAGTGAGAGTAGGGCTCGGTGCACGAGAGTCTCTCTGGACCTAGAAAGAGAGAGAGAGAGAGAGGGTTTTGTTTTCGAAGATAAAATGAGAGCGGGAGTGATATGGTGTTTCTTGCTGCTTGTGGCGAGATGCGTCGTCCTGGGCGATCCCGAGGCCGATCCCGAGGCCGACCCGCTGCGCACCCGATGGCAACCCAAGAATCGCAATGAAGACAAATGTTACAACGAGAACGGCCGACCGCAGGTTTGTTTGCGTTTATTTTTTTGTATTGTAGTTTTTGTTGGCAAAAATAGTTTATAATTGTTTTCTCACACGTGTGTTGTATCGAATAGATTTTAATTTCGCACACACACACACACATACACACAGAAAAAAAGTTTGCTTTTACAAGACCAGCAAGAAAACTCTGCATCTTCTGAGTGTTTTGTTTCGTCACCAAAACGTTTTGTTGGCAAGACAAAAAATTCAATAGGCCAAAGATTTCTTCTGCTGGTCACATAGTGACTTCTTGTTACTCTAGTAAACCTTTTTTTTTTGTGCAGAAATTATTTTAATAGATTACATTAATTTGTACAACAATTTTTTCTGTACACGAATTCTCTCCTTATTTTTCATCAAATAAATATAATATTAATAATTCTGCGTGTATAATACAAAGCGGTCGTCGCGCGTTGCCTCACACATCTCGAATCATAAAACGAGATCTGTGCCATTCTCTTGCCACAGCAGCTTCGAAATTCGGGAGGATGCCGAGGAGGTTATCGCCGGGTCGCTCGAAGGGTTACTTGAACTCGCAATGATAATTATGTAGGCGACGCGATACAAATACAACACACATACAACATTCTGAAAATTCGCAAGCTTAATCGTAGAAATAGAATGGATTTTTAAATTAACTGTTAGAAAAAAAATTAACTTAATATTTCTGCATATTTTGATATCGACAAAAACGCATATCTTTGCGTGAAAAAATCGCTGTTACATTTTCACAAATTTTTTCTGAAAATTCTGTCTCTCAACTTCTCTTCAAACAATTGTCCGTTTCTCTGATACTGCGTTATTTGAATCCGTGAAATTTATACATTGAAAATTGCAGAAGTATACAAAGTTGTTGCCGATTAAAAACGTTTATTAAAAGGGCGGATGCGCGCCGTTATACGTGGGTTTCAGAGATGCATACCGCCGTTCGAGAACGCCGCTTTCAACGTGCGGATGGAGGCGACCAACACTTGCGGCGAGACCGCTCCCGTCGAATTTTGCGGGCAGACGCGCGTGCAAAAGAAAACGTGCGAGTTATGCCGGCGGGGCGATCACTCGGCCGTCTTCCTCACCGATCACGACAACAACGACAATGCTACCTGGTGGCAGTCGGACACCATGTACGAGAACATCCAGTATCCGAATCAGGTCAACCTCACTCTTCGCCTAGGTACGCGGTTCCGTTCGCAAAGCATCCGGTACACCGTATCGTAAAAGATATCTCTCTGTCTCTGTCTCTCTCTTTGTGTGTTACTGAGAGACGCTTATCTTTGGGCTATTTTTCTCTCTTTCTGGGTGATTCTTTCTCGCGCGCGCGCGCGGTCTCTCATCCTACTTCCTTATCTGTGAGGATGTATGGGCGATGAGATAAATCGTACAGCGTGTGGCGGATGACGAACAAATCACAGACACGATCTCTCTCTCGAGAAGAACTCTGAAAACGAATTTATTCTTACTCTCAGAGCGTTGGATGTTTATTTGGGACTTCGTTCGTTCACAACCGCGTGTACATTTTGCAATGATAAAAATCTATAAATCGGTTTTGTTAAATACAATTACATGTTTTGCAATTAATTATATGTTTAATTATTCTCAATTGGTAAAACTACAATTTTTATGCGCCACATGTTCATTCGTCGCAAACCGTTCGTTTTTGTATCCATTTCCATTTCTGTGCGAATTTCGATTGCACAATTTGTAGAAATTATCAGAACTCGTTAAAAACATCTTTCAACGTGAGATGATCATTTGCAAAATATCCAGACACATAATTTCTTTCTTTTCACATTTAATATTCCGTGTGGTCTCATGTTTGTTGGTGCTATAGCAGCGTGTAAATAAAACAAAATGAAACAAATAAATCAAATACATAGGTAAGACATTCGACATAACGTATGTCAGAGTGTTGTTCGAATCGCCTCGGCCGGAGAGCTGGGGAATCTACAAGCGGAAGAATGAGAAGTCGCCGTGGGAGCCTTATCAGTTCTACTCGGCGACGTGTCGGGACACGTACGAGTTGCCCGAATCAAAGGAAACTATCCGCGGTGACGACACTCGCGTGCTATGCACCTCGGAATTCTCGGACATCTCCCCGCTCACTAAGGGCACCGTCGCCTTCTCGACTTTGGAGGGCCGACCGTCCGCTTATTACTTCGAAACCAATTCCGAACTTCAGGTATTAAAAAACCGCGACATATCTGTGTTTTTTTTTTACTTTACCGAAAGAAATTTATTAGAATTTAATTTTGTTAAGTCAACAACCGACTACGCTGCAGGGTCAACAATTTTTTAATAGATGGTAGACGCGGTTTCGTTTTGTAGGAATGGGTGCAGGCGACAGACTTGAGGATCACTCTGGACAGACTGAACACGTTCGGCGACGAGGTCTTCGGCGATCCGCAAGTACTGAAATCTTACTACTACGCAATAGCTGATGTAGCGGTGGGTGCGAGATGCGCCTGCAACGGCCACGCCGGGGAATGCGTCAACAGCACCAGCGTCGACGGCAGAACTCGCAGGGTGTGCCGGTAAAAACTTCTGTTCTCTTCCGCGCACCAGTAAACATTATTTCGTCGGTTTCTCTTGCCAAACGCACTGTAGAGTTAATATCTTTGTTTCAAAATGATTTTTTAGATTATTATTATTATTTATCGTTTTTTTTTTTTTCATTTTCCGTGGAAACTTGCAGATTTCGACGAGATCGTGTGAATAAATTCTAGAACGCGGCTAGACACATTTAACTGGTTTTCTTGCAGATGCGAGCACAACACCGCTGGTCCAGATTGCAACGAGTGCCTGCCCTTTTACAACGACGCTCCTTGGGGCCGTGCCACGACTGCGGACGCGCACGAGTGCAAACGTGAGTATTTAACAATCTTTTTTTTTTTTTAAATTTGTCCCTCACACAGAGCGTATGTGCGCGTCCAATGAGATCTTTGATAAAACTATTTATTGTTTCTGTCAAGAGAGTGATCAGGAATCGCATATTTATTTCAACACTACTTGCGCAAGAACCAAAATATATAATTGCGCCCAAGCCGGTTCTTCTCCCAACGGACGTACATCCAATCGCGCAGCGCGCGCGGTGTGTCGCGAACACATCACAAGCATGTGCACACTTTCACTAGTGTTGGTTGAGATACTCACTTTACCTTTTACGTGCATCATCAACTCGCTCGAGTGGGGGATGCTCGACTTGCGAGTCGCGGAGGTGCATGCCCCGCGCGCGATGTATTTTTCTTCGCAGTCAGTGCGCCATGGGGATCGCGATTGAACGCGATACCATTTGTTTATTTATTGCAGCTCATGAGTGGCTTCTTGTTTCAAATGGAAATGTTACAAAAATAAACGTCTAAAACAGATAACATAAAATGTGCAAGTTGAAGCAACAAGTGCGAGACAAACAATTTCAAAATTAAAATTACGCAATAATAAAAAATTACATACGCAACATTAAGAGTGTGATAATAAACACAAACAATAACTTAACAACGCGTCGATTCTTCTATTAATGTTCGAAGGAAATGAGACTGATCGCGTTGTTAATAATAGCGAATTGCTTGTCGAAATGCAAATCGCGCGATGGAACGCTCCCTTGGTATTCCAGATCCGGTAAACAAACAAACAAAAACACACACACACACACGTCGGATGACACTCGTTTTCAATGTCGCGTATTCACTGATTTGTCGGTCGAAAATTTATCTCCGTCAATTGTTGCAGCTTGCAATTGCAACGGATACTCGGACAGATGCTATTTCGACAAGGAACTATACAAGGCGACGGGTCACGGGGGTCACTGCTTGGATTGTCGAGCCAATCGCGACGGTGCCAATTGCGAGCGATGCCGCGAAAACTACTACCAACGTCCCGAGGATAATTACTGCGTCGCGTGCAACTGCAACGAGATCGGTAATCAGAAATTGGAAAATTGTTGTCAAAATTGTTGTATTTGTGAAGTAAATGCGAACAATTGCGATCGCAGGTTCGAGAAGCTTGCAGTGCAACAGCGAGGGTAAATGTCAGTGCAAACCTGGCGTGACCGGAGACAAGTGCGACCGTTGCGCGGCCAATTTCTACAACTTCGGATCGTTGGGCTGCACCTCCTGCGAGTGCAGCTTGGCCGGATCGGCCGGGAACGCTCCCAATTGCGATCCCGTCTCGGGAGTTTGCGTTTGCAAAGAGAACGTCGAGGGAAGACGATGCAGAGAGTTAGTTACATCATCAAATTACCATATGTTTTAGTTTTCTTTGCTTGAACCAATTCATTTTGTTTCCTCTTGAAAAAAAATTAATTAGATTTTTCGCAACTGATCAGATGTCGCCCGGGTTTCTTCAATCTGGTGAAGGAGAACGAGTTCGGCTGCACTCCTTGCTTCTGCTACGGCCATTCTTCGGTCTGTCGATCGGCGAACGGTTATTCAAAGGCGTTCATCGAGAGTACGTTCGTACGCGGAAACGAACGCTGGTCCGCTTCCGTGGCTGGAAATCCGATTCCGTTGAATTACGACGCGCTGACACAAACGATTTCCGTTACCGCGCTCGATCGCGACAACGTATACTTTCTGGCTCCGAGTAGATTCTTGGGGGATCAGCGAGCGTCGTACAATCAAGATTTGTCGTTCAGACTGAGAATTGGAGAAACCGGTCCGGCTCCGACGGCTCGTGATGTAATTTTGGAGGGCGGAAACGGCGAGCAGATCACGCAGCCAATTTTTGGCCAGAACAATCGCCTGCCAACTAACACAGTAAGTTTACTTTTGTTCCGACTCTTTTTAAGGTTTTTCTATTAACGTATTTATTTCTTCTATTTCGAGAAAATATTTTCTTCGCAAAATTGCGTTACGTAATTGTTTCTTGCAGCCCCAAGAGTACCGATTTAAACTACACGAGCATCACAGCTACGGTTGGCAGCCGCAATTATCTTCTCGCGCTTTCATGTCGATCTTGTCGCACCTGACCGCCATAAAGATTCGCGGAACTTACACTCACCAAGGTCGGGGATTTTTGGACGACGTGAAACTGGAAACCGCCCATCGCGGCGCGGCCGGTGAGCCGGCCGATTGGATAGAGCACTGCCAGTGTCCTCACGGTTACGTCGGTCAGTTTTGCGAATCGTGCGCCCCCGGATTCCATCACGACCCGCCCAACGGCGGTCCCTTCGCTCTCTGCGTGCCGTGCAACTGCAACGGGCACGCTGACATATGCGAGGCCGAGACCGGACAGTGCATCTGTCAGCACAACACGGCCGGCAGCAACTGCGAACTGTGCAGCAGAGGATATTACGGTTATCCGTTGAAGGGAACTCCGGACGATTGCAAGCCGTGCCCGTGCCCCGACAACGGACCCTGCATTCTTTTGGGCAACAATCCAGATCCCATCTGTTCGGAATGTCCGATCGGTAGGACGGGGCCTAGATGCGAGACCTGTTCCGACGGTTATTACGGAAACCCCGAGAGAGGACTGGCCTGCCGGCCCTGCGACTGTAACAACAACATCGACCTGAACGCGGTCAGAAACTGCAACCACGAAACGGGAGAGTGTCTCAAGTGCGTCAACAACACGGCGGGTTTCCACTGCGAGGAATGTCTGCCCGGTTATTACGGAGACGCGTTGTCGGATCGCAAAGAGGACGGGTGCAAATTGTGTCAGTGCTATCTGCCGGGCACTTTGGAACTCGAGGACGGAAGGGTCGTTCCCTGCGATCAGTTAACGGGACATTGCGCCTGCAAACCGCACGTCGTGGGCCGTAATTGCGACAAGTGCGAGGAAGGTTACTATCACATCTTGAGCGGAGAAGGTTGCACGCCTTGCAACTGCGATCTCGAGGGCTCGTACAACCGCACCTGCGACCCGAGTACGGGTCAGTGTCAGTGCCGACCGGGAATCACGGGACAACACTGCGACGTTTGTGAACCTTACAAGTACGGATTCGGCCGCGAGGGTTGCAAACCGTGCGACTGCGACAGCATCGGCTCCCAGGATCTGCAGTGCGACGCGAACGGACAGTGTCCCTGCTTGCCGAATGTTGAGGGCAGACGTTGCGATCGTTGTAAGGAAAACAAGCACAATCGCCAGCACGGCTGCATTGACTGTCCCGATTGCTACAATCTCGTGCAGGCGGCGGTCAACGATCACCGACGACGGTTGGCCGAACTCGAGGACACTCTGCACAAGATCAACAGCAGTCCCACTGTGATCAAGGACTCGGACTTCGAGAAAGAGCTCAAGAATGTACAGGACAAGGTAAAATCATTGCTGACCGTAGCTAAGCAAGGATCTGGCAGCAAAAATAACAAAACGCTGGCGGAACAGTTGGACGAGCTGCGCGAACAGTTGAATATGATCGACAAGATCTATCAGACCGTGGACGTGACGGCGAACGATGCGCGTGATATAACCGAGGAAGGTTTAGCGAGTATCGACGAAGCGGAGAGAGTTCTGGACAAGATCCACGAGCAGCTAACGGAAGCGGAGGATTACCTGGCCACAGACGGAGCGAGTGCCTTAGCCGCGGCGAAATTGCGCGCCGAGCAAGTCGGCCAGCAGAATCAGCAAATGACGGCGATCGCGCAGGAGGCTCGGGTGGTCGCCGAGGTGAACACCAATGAAGCCAACAGGCTTCACATGCTGGCGGAGCAAGCGCGCAACACGACACTGGAGGCTTACAATCTCGCGAAGCAAGCGATATCGAAATACTCCAACATAACGGACGACGTGAGAAATTTGGAGAACAAACTGGAACAACTGGAGGATCGCATAGACGAGGTGAAAAATCTCACCGCCATCGCGGCTGCCAAGTCCTCGGCCGTCTCCCAGGAAGCGATAGATCTGCTGACTCTCGATCTGACGCTTCCTCCGGTTAACATCGAGCAGTTGCAGGAGCAAATTGAAAACGTGAGCGACAAGGGTCTGAAGATAAAAGAGCAGGCGCAACTCTTGCTGGAGAAAAACGAGGATTTGATCGAAGAAATGATTGAAAAAGTCAGAAAGAGCGAGGAATTGCTGGAAAGAGCTCAGGATCAACAGGCTGCGACGGCTGAGCAATTGGCGGAATTGGACAAGGCTAAAGAAACGGCGAACGACGCCGTAAAACGCGGCGATCAAACTCTGAAAGAAGCTCAGGAAACCTTGAAGAAATTAGGTGAATTTGATGCCGAGGTGCAACGCGAGCGCGTCAAGGCGCAAAATGCTCTGAAGGACATACAGAATATCGAAGAATTGATTAACACTGCCACCGCAAAAGCGAGGGAGACAGAGCAGGTGTTGAGCGGATCGGAGGAGAGAGCCAACACCGCGCGCGAAACGGCACAGAACGCACAGATGTACGCGGACAGGGCCAGCGCGAACGCGAACGAAATCAGAATGAAGGCGAACGAAACCAAAATCGAAGCGACGCGACTCGGAAACGAGGCCGAGGGTTTGCATCTCCGAATCGACACGACGGATTCGGTGATGAAGCAATACGAGATTCAAGCGGCCAAGGACGCCAACGTCATGGCCGAGGCGAATCATAAGGTCGGCCAGGCGAAGACCAACGTGACCTTCTCGTCGCAACAAGTCGACAAGGCTTTGGCCGAAGTGGCTGAGATCATCAGGGAGCTCGAAAATCTGCGAGAGATCGACGAGACCGACCTGGATCGTTTGGAGGAACGTCTCCTCGCCGCCGAGAGGGAGATCAAAGCTGCGAATCTGGACCAACGAATTCGCGCGTTGACCGAGGCGAAAAACCTGCAGACCCAATGGGTGAAGAATTACGAGGACGAGATCAACAGGCTGAGAATCGAGGTGGAAAACATCGGTGACATCGCAAAAGTACTGCCAAAAGGATGCCATCACCGCGTCCGTCTCGAACCTTAAGAAATTTATGCCTTTTTATGCCTTATATACATATATATATATAAAACACACATTTTTCATCTTATATCAAATCTTTTAGTAAATTCTTGCGTACTTAATGGATTATTTAAGGTTTGAAGAGATTTTCAATATCGTCAAAACTCGTGGCCTTCGAAAGACAAACATCTCGTGATTAGTGACGTCGCTTAAAAATTATATGCAGCAAATTCTTAATTTGGTAATTAAATCTCGACGACTTACTTAAATATACACACAATCTTTATATGTTCTGAAAAAAATAAAATTTCGTATAATCTACTAATCTAATTAGTGAACGGCATTTTGCACGTTGGGCTAGAGGCACTTTCCTTGCGCAGACGTACACGCGGGACGACCGACGAGGAAACGTTTTATACCAAAGATCTTCTTTTTTTTTTTTACAATACACGGTATCGGGAGACCTATCGTCACTCTTTTTTTTTTTAATCGTTCAAAATCCGGCATCCATTTATATTTGTTACAAACGTTTGCCAATCGTGTATAAATATGTATATAGATCTATATTTACATCCATATATATAACATGTAATTGCCATATTCGCGTGTTATCTAATAATAAGACAAATGTTCTTCCATCATCGAAGGAGACCAAAAAGCAAAAAAAAAAAAAAAACAAAAAAATATCTAGAAATATATCTATTTTCTCATATATCGATCGAAAAAAACAAAGTCCAAGTGAAAAACACATGTAACACGATTCTAGTGTCATAAGCATCGCACAGATCTAACAGTGTTTGTTATTATCAATTATCTGTATTATTGTGCGAATTATATAGAAGCTTCGCGCGTGCGCGCGGATAATCAAGACTCGAGAATTGACAACTCGTATATCGATAGTATTTTTACATATTATAAATGAGAGAGATATAAACGAAACAAAAGAGCATTTTTATACGAGTTTAGATTGTTGTACAAATGTGTATTTGAGGATTACAAAATAAACAATCTCGAAAAATAACAGTCGGAGCGAATAATAACATATTACCTCACTGTCTACGCACCTATTACGTGAGAACCACCGGTTGTAGGTCGGTTGTATATTTGTTTAACTAGTTTTCTATACATATATATGTATATTAATAATTAAACATCGAATGTGGATCTTTTTATCACGCTGTCACGTGTATTATTGTTAACACATCTACAGTTATTCTCACGAAATTGATATACATCAAATATTTTACACAGTTTTACAAAGATTGTTGCTAGAATGAGAGAAGAAACTACAGATGATAAATATTCCATATGGTATCTCTATTTATTGTTTTACTAATGGTAAGAGATTAAAAAAAAAAAGGACGCCGTCGTAAATTATAATTGTGTTTATTTTTTCTCATAAAATTCACTATATATTAATATCTATGATAGAGTTGCGACTTAGATTATACACTTAAAACTATCGACAAAACAAAAATTATTTTATCACGGAGAAAGGTGGAGAAGAACGGTGGGGGGAAGAAGAAGAAAGAGCTATGGGTCGCGCGATTCAGGTAATTCACTTAATTATGAACAAAATGATTAAAAACACCAATATAGCAGTCAACACTCCAATGGCTACCCATTGCCTCCGATCTAAAACAAACGGAAAGTACCATCACATGCGTCACTTGGGATCGTTGAACAGACCTTCTACATTGAGATGCGAAATTATTTACAAAAGATATTGTTCTCTTCTGACAAAGATCGCTTTTTTTTTGTTTTTTTAAATTATTAACTCTAAACTCGGTGAAAAGTTGTGTAAACACATACATCGTTCAGAAAAACGTAATAAACAAATTTGAAGAGCGTCAAAAAATGATTCGAAAACATTTGATTGATTTCGTAAGTATAACTGTAGATTTATATTGATTAATTAGTTAACGCATAAGAAAGAGTAAAGCAGTAAAGGAAAGAGAGGAGCAATTATTCATTTCATCTGTTTCACAATTCGGTTCTCAACTTTTATTCGTTCAATGTTCATTTTCTTTTTTCCTTTTTTTTTTTTTTTTTTTTTTTTTTTTTTTTTTCCAGCATGCGAAACCGAAAGGGGGAGAGAGATAACAATAAGACTTCGTTCTAATTACATTCACAATGTTTTTACGCTTCTTTTTCCTCAATTCACATATACATGTAATT